GTTTTATCTTATATATGCATAGCTTTAACAGTTTATCTGGATGGCCGAGTTTATTAGAAAGATAGTTCGGAAGCAGTCTCGGTCCAGTTCGCCTACGAAACGTCGTCCATATGAGTCGATATCATCATGGGCTAAACCCTGTACGGTAAACGAAAATTTTGGTGTTACCGGTTCCAGTGCCTTCAACGTTTACGCCAATGATCAGTGTTGTAAGACATGTCAATACTGCCATACAGCTTTACACAATGTTCGTTTTTTCTTCATCTTTTTATATTTATTATCTTATTTTTCGACTGATATAATCGCTGTTTTATATGTGTTTAATTGACAGTACAGTAATGCGGGTTCAGAAATTATTTTCAATTGTCGTATCTTGATTTTAATTAGCAAATTCAAATATTAGATTTTATGGTCGGTTAGGATAGTCATTTAAAGTGTTAGAATTGAAAAATTACATGACATTTTAATAGCATTACAATCTTTTTTTCTTTTTTTTTTTTTCTCTTTTTTTTTTATCTTTTTAGTTTTTTACTCTTCTGTTGGTGTTGGTGTTGTTGTTGTTAATTTATAAATGTTCAGATTTTTTTTTTTTCGTTGTTGAGTGGCGACAATATTTTGGCTATCAAAAATTGACAAGCATAAAAAATTTTGATTAATTGATTACATAGAAGTTGAAAAGATGGAGTGAAAGAAGGAAAAAGAACGGAAGGGAGAAGGGGACGGCGGGTGAAGCTAAGAGGAGGAGAGTAATACAATTTGATGGAATAGCAAATGGTATTGGAAAAGTTGTTAAACGGATTCAATTTTTGATAAATAAACTGTTAACCGTTGTTTTGGTGTGATTGTCACCATATGGTCAACAGTTTGTTGAGGCCTATTCTAAACAAAGGAGGAACACTTTGTGATCGCCAACAAATGAGAACATTGCTAAGGAAATTTATATCTATCGGATGAATGTTTTGACAATCAGTTGGATACGGTGACGTCAGCAATAATAAAATTGTTACTGATACCGTTTTTTATATTTATTTGTCTTTTTTTTTTCTAGTTTTTTTTTGAAGATAAAGAAGAAAACATCAATTTGCTGCAAAAATTTTGATTAAGATAGGATTCTATGGCACATTTATTGAGAACAGAGAGAAAAAAAAATAAAATAATGGCAATTTACTGATATTTGCAGAGTAGCAATTCAATCAGATAACAGTGATAAGGTGAACAACAACAAAAAAAGATTTTATTGAGTTTTTTTAAAAAATTATTTTACCAATTTTAATATTTTTTTTT